GACTGATTATACTGATAAGTTCTCAGACCAACTAAGGAGCTCATTCCTTTCCGTCAATAAATCGGTTGCTTGGTAAAAAAAATTAGCAATAAACCTTCTCAGCATCAACACACACAGACACTCAAAAAAAATATATATATATATATATATATATATATATATATATATATATATATACACGAATATACACACTTACACACATCATACTCACTCACTCCCTAATGAGCCAAATGATAATACACACCCACAGCAATACACACGCTTACACATATAATACTCACTCACTCCCTAAGAACCAAATAAACACATCCCCTCGCCAGGACCAATAAAACTGTCAAACTGACCAGGGGAATTCAGAGTAGCATAGATCCATCCAGATCTTTTCTCAAATAACAACTTAAAAGAGACTGTTTGACCAACACAAGGAATGTTAAAAGATTCATGTTAAAAAGATAAAAGAATAAATAAAAAAAACAAATGAAAACTACAGACAAAAGTTCATTTTCTCTATCAAGACATTCATTTCTGTAGTTTACTGCTACCAGCAAGCAGAAATATTTCTTTTCCTGATGATGACCATATTCGACGTGTGAGGGTCAAGCAGCTCAGTTCCTAGGAAACGACATCCCAGACACCAGCACATATGATTTGATTATAATGGTGAAGACTTTGAGTAGAACGAACCACACTTTTTGAAGGGTCGAAGACAGAGATCTGGTGCAATAACAGTGAATCTAAACAAAACAAACCTATATGCAACTATAGATTAAAAAGTACGTGTCCGATGGAAGGTAGCGTAAAATATAGTTTATTTGGCTAAAACAGGGAAAAAATAAGAATAAAGTTAAGAGAGAATATATATAGGAGCTACTGAAAATGAATGATAAAAAATTACAATAATCATAAATTAATTTTTCCACATTAAATACGGAAACTTTACAACGCTGTCAGCGTATTATTGAAACATAGAGATATAGGTAGGTCGCGTAAAATTACCTGGAGAATGTATTAAAAAAAAGTAGCATATGTAAAATCTCTAGGGATTGATGTAAGCTTTGCTTGGAAGAAAATTTTGAGTTACTAATTTTCAGCAATACTTAAAAAAGAGATTTAATTAACAGATATAGACATAACAGGAAACACCTATTGTGTCAGCTACAAACGGACTAGCGTATTAATTTATTGGAAATTCTTTTCCAACTGAATCCGACTACAACAGTACAACAATTAGCAGTTTAGTCCATCCTTACGCGTTTTTTACTTTACCTATTTTGTTTAGGTGTGGTTATTCACGGGTTTTTAATGAATTCATTTTAATTTTTTTTCCCCTGTGATGCTTTAGGGCGATTCACATGTTATATAAAGCCTTCCTCTGAAATCTGTTGTTTCCGTTCAAGTTGTCTGAAGATCGCGTGGGTATGAAACTCGAGTTACGACTAATTAAGCGTTTTTTTTCTCTCTTTTTTTCTTGGTCTAGGCAATTTAGGCTTCGAGCACTTTAATTTAGTGAGTAGTTTCCTTTTAGGCCTTTTTCTCTTTCTTTTTTCAGTTTGGTTGATTTTTATTCGAGACTGCATCTGAATAATATTTTTAGGATTTGGCAAGTTGTCAATATATATCATGTCATATATATATATATATATATATATATATATATATATATATATATATATATATATGTTTCATTACAAACGACAGACAAAATTACTACGGTTAAGCTTTTTATTTAATTTTTCTTTTGTTCAAACAGAGCTTTCTTTTCTGGACAAAGGGTGTGTAGAACTGTCCAAATGTTTTATATTTCCGAGCGCTTTCGGCTATACCTTTAGCCATTATCAAGGATGATTCGATTTTTCAGCTTAATTGTGTGCATCCATTAAACATGGCACGTGGAACTAGAACAGTCTACCCCAGTAGACTGTTCTGATTCCACCATGTTTAATGGATGTCAAAATATCAGTTATCTCCTGCTAATTTCCCTCTGAAAGTTCTCCACTGCCTTAACCGGGTATTGAACTCACACTCTTTGGGTTTTGTCACTGGATCTAACCAACGCCTTTATCCACAGTGCCATGTGCCCAGTGAGCGAAATAAAGGGTTCAGTTCGACATTCCAACCACCTGAAGAAGGCCGGAGCGTACAACGGCCGAAACATTGTGATAAATATGGCGACAAAGATGAGGAAAATAGTCCGAATAATGCAAATAATGTACATAATACCTCATTTCAGAAATATAGACAAACTATATATATATATATATATATATATCTATATATATATATATATATATATATATATATATATATATATATATTTGTTTGCTGTGTGAATGAATAGTGAGTGGGTGGATGTGTGTTGTTTAAACGTAAACCTATACTTATATATTACGTGTGATCAATACCGGACGTAGAGCTTTTAAGAACATAGACAATTTGGCCCTATGGAAGCAAACTGCATCAATGGAATATATGTATATATATAGAAAGAGGGAATGGGGTG